AGCAGTAAGAAATTTGTAAAAAATTTGTCTGAAATAAATAATGTTCAAGGCTATGCTGGGCCACCGCGTGGCTATGCCGCTTGGCGCTAGGTCAAATCCTCAGTTGAAATCAAAGAAAGTTTTATTTATTTATTGTCACATTTCTAATTGGTGGCGGAAAAGAAGATCTTTTAAGTCTACAAGTAAAAAAATGTCATTGGGAAACTAACTGAGCCTATGACCAATGATTATGACGATGATGCTCTGGAAGGTATTTTTAATTTTCTAGTATAATCTAATTTTTATATTAAATATTTTCTTCTTTGTAAATAGATACAACTATACAAGATACCGAGATGGAGTTTGCAAGCAGCATGGATGTTGACAACAAAATCAACACCAACACAACTTCAGATCCAGATATTTCTTTACTTCAATACCAAGAAAATTTGGCATAAACTGAGGTTTGTTTTTAGTCAATCTCTAGTATCCGCACTTCTGGAGTTGGCTGTTCAGACTATGCTATATCTTTAAACTAATCACTTTCAGTGAGACTCAAAAGTAAAAAGAATCCTCTTTTAAAATCACCATCAAATGCATTTGTGAACACTCCTTCCACATCACAGGCGAGTGCAAAAGATGGATTGAAACATATCGAACGACGGCTGGCAGGAACAAAAAGACCACGATTAATACCGGACTGGACCATCTCTCCTAGTGCAAACAAAAATAGATTACATCAATATTTTGAGAAACGATGCTATTGAAAAGTTTGAGTTTGAGAAAGGGGTTATTGAGAACACAGTATCTGAGCAGAAAATAAAAAATTAAATTTTGCAAATAGAACTAATGAAATAAACATATTATAAACCGCGTGTTGTTTTATTAAACGTTGGTATGTTAAAATTATACTTTTTAATGCAGATTACAAATGATTAGAAATAAAACAATTAACGTATGAGACAAATTTTTAAAATATCATATGTGTAGGCTGAAAATATATGCAATGTGGGTTGCCTAATGGTTTGTTTGTTAGATGCGGATATCTTACTGTCAAACGGCGTAACGTTTTGACATGTGAAGGATGTCACTTTATGTTCGGTCAAAAGGATGGTCTTATGTACTTGGTGCCGTTTTTATGCATCTGATTTTATGAACCAGTTT